AATTTTCTGTTGCCTTCAGTAGGGCAACTTTTAAATAATCACATTTCTCTTGGACTCCATTTAAATTGCTCCAGTCTGATAATGACTCCTCTACACATATTCTAATTTTAGAAAAGTCTGTTTTTCTAAAGTCCAAAACTTTTGTTTTTGTGTGGTGTGACTCAGTCACGGTTCTTATATTAAACCACACTGACCGATGATCACTGGATCCTAAACTTTTACCTACAGTAATATCTGATACCAAATCTCCATTTGTTAACACTAAATCTAGTATGGCCTCTTTACGAGTTGGTTCCTCAACGACTTGTTTTAGAGACAATCCCAGTAGGGAGTTTAGAATATGTGTGCTCCTGGCATAAGCAGCTATTTCTGTTTTCAAATTCACATCAGGAAGATTAAAGTCACCCATGATGATAACTTCCCCCCTTCATTGTCATTTTAGCTATTTCCTCAACTAGTAGATTATCTAACTCTTCAATTTGTCCTGGGGGCCTATAAATCACACCTACACGAGTTACTGTGTGATTACCAAATTGTAACGTAACCCAAACGGACTCTATGTTCGCCTCACTAACTTTTATTAGGCTAGATTTTATGCTATCCTTCACATACAGGGCCACCCCTCCCCCTTTCTTGCCTTCCCTGTCTTTTCTATATAAAGAGTACCCTGGTATTGCTATGTCCCAGTCATTTTTCTCATTATACCATGTCTCAGTAACAGCGACTAAATCTACACTATCAGTTGCCATTATTGCCACAAGTTCATTGATCTTATTCCTTAAACTGCGAGGATTTGTAGACATGACTCTAAGCTTATCATTTTTTAACACACTTGCTACAGGCACCTTCTGTCCTTGTTTTGGGGGACAAAAATGTTGATGTTTTATCACCCTTTTGCCGCCCCCCTCCTAGTTTAAATACATCCTAGCAAAACCTCTGAACTGCTCACTGAGAACATTTGTTCCCTTTTGAGAAAGATGCAAACCATCTTTTTTGTACAGATTATTTCCATTTAATATAAAGAATGTATTAATGTACAACTAATAAGATGCAGTGTTTAACTTATAATCTAAAGAAATACAACATAACAGCTGGAATATAATAACCAGTAGCTGTTACAGGGTTCTTCTTTTATAAATAAATGAGCCAGAGTGAAGACTTTGTAAGGGTATATATAGGAGGTATTGTTGTACTCGGGTAATACTGTGGAGTACAGTTTAAAATACTTTTTACAATCGCACACATGGCATTCAAAAACAAAGCAGCAAAACCTAAGCAGCTTTTCCCTGTATAGCATTGCAGTATTTGTTTAACATTTTTGCAGGAACCGAATACAATTAAACAGTGACGGTCCATCTGATAGAATGGCTCAAATCCAAAGGCTCCTGTAAGATTTGGGTATCACAGAGATTTTGGTAGCTCTACAATGATATACAGTGTGTATGAATTATCATTATGGGAAATAGACCTGAACCAGACAATTACGTTATTCTATAGTTGTCTTCTTTGATCTACACAGTGCAATAAGTGAGTAATGCAAAGCGTTAATGGGATACAGAAAAATAAACACAATTTCTAAACTAACAACCCCTGGCTTCCTTTTATATCCTTTAAAGAATATAACATAATCAATATTATGTAAGTGTCACAAGATTGCCACAAGTACATTTTGGACCTCAAGCATCTGGATATGAGTCCCACTTATTTTCTTGCCAAGATTATAGGTATTAACAATAGAATGTACCTTGTCAAGATTCAGCTGTTACGAAACCATATACATATACACCATATACATATTAGATTGTAAGCTTGTTTGAGCAGGGCCTTCTTCACCTATTATCCATGGGCATCTGCAGGAATTTTTTTGGGGGGAGGGGGCATAATTGTAATGACATCCATGCTCGGCCCCCTTTTGCAGGACTGGACTGGGGATTCAAAGCAGCCCTTGAAGAAATGTATGACAGTTCCATAAGTCATTGTGCCATGTAGTGTGTGTGTGTGTGTGTGTATGTGTATATATATATATATATATATATATATATATATAATCCAAGGCTCCTGCACTCCAACTTTAACAAAATAAATACCTGGTGTTTTGGTCACATAAAGTATAAATAATGAAAAAAAAATACCGGCACTCCAGGATTTGGGAAAAAGAAGAGGATAGTTATTTTTTATTCTTATAGTTCTAGTCAATGTTTCAGCTCTAGCACAAAGCTTTCATCAGACTCACTGACAGACAATCTCACTCAGACAAGCTTACCGGTACACACACAAACTTAATACACTCACACAAGGTAACTACAGTTTGGTATACAAACACAAACTTACTACAGACAAGCTTACTGTCACACACAAATGCTCACTACAGACAAGCTCACTGTCACACACACACAAGCTCACTACAGAAAAGCTCACTGATACACACATGCTCACTACAGACAAGCTCACTGACACACACAAGCTCACTACAGAAAAGCTTGCTGACACACATGCTCACTACAGACAAACTCACTGACACACACACATGCTCACTACAGAAAAGCTCATTGACACACACATGCTCAATGACACATATACACATGCTCACTGACACACACATGCTTACTGCAGAAAAGCTAGCTGATATACACACACATGCTCACTGCAGAAAACCTCACTGAGGCAAATGCTCATTACAAGCAAACTCACCTACACACACAAGCTAAAGACAAGCTCACTGACACACACACAAGCTCAAAAACACACATACATGTGCTCACTACAGACAATCTCACTGACACACACATGCTTCCTACAGAAAAACTCACTGACATACACACAAGCTCACAACAGGCAAGCTCACTGACACACATACACATGCTCACTACAGACAAACTCACTGACACATACACACACACATGTTCACTACAACACACAAATGCTTACTACAGAAAAGCTCACCGACACACACAAATGCTCACTACAGAAAAGCTCACACACACACACACACAAGCTCACTTACAGACAAGCTCACTGACACATATACATATGCTCACTACATACACATGCTCACTGACACACATGTTCACTAGAGAAAAGCTAGCTGACAAACACAAGCTCATTTACACATAAGCTCAATGACACACACAAGCTCACTGACACAAATACACATGTTCACTACAGACAAGCTCGCTGACACACACGCTCAATACAAACTCACTAACACACATGCTCACTACAGACAAGCTCACTGACACACACATGCTCACTACAGACAAGCTTACTGACACACACATGCTAACTACAAGCTCACTGACACACACACATGCTCACTACAGACAAACTAACTGACACACACATGCTCACACAAACTCACTGACACACACACATGCTCACTACAAACTCACTGACACACACAAGTTCAGTACAAACTCACTGACAAACACAAGTTCACTACAGACAAGCTCACTGACACACACATGCTGTAAAATGTAATTTAGAACGGTGTTAATGTAGAATCTTCTTAATTTCTTCTTATCTTCAGTTGATTGATATATATACGTCTTTTGTATATATATTCTTGGGCCAAATGCTCGCCACAATAATATATGTCTATATTATTGAAAAGTAGTAATACGCAATCTGACTTACGGTTTCTTCAGGTTTATTCTTTGTTACGGATACATAATAAAACATAATAAAGGATGTTACAGGATAATGGACATTCAACAGCAGATGGTAATTGCTGTACTTCTGATGGGAGAGTTACATCGTTATACAGAGCCAAGAGCCAAGACAGAGAGCGACTTCGTGTCCCTCTGTCACTATAAAGAAGTGCTAATACTAACGTCAGCATATAACTCTAGCCATATAAGGACAAGACCCCCGAATCCACATTCCAGAGCTCTCGGACAAAGAAAGCCTTGTGACTTATTGATACCATCTGTTACTTATGTCAATCCACACATCCATATATATAATCAATAGAAACATAGAATATGCAATATTCTACATTCCCTCTGTTTATGGTTTGTCTTAAAACCATAACACAATGTCAAACCTGTCCATTCATACATCACTTGTATCACATTCATTGAGCATAGAACAAGATGTAGTCACAACTTTCTATTATATGAGAGTTCTTAGAAGGTCGAGTTTCTATCCCTCATACTGCTTACTTTACTTCAAAACTCCCTCTGTTTCAGCTATGTATTGATATCCATATCCATGTTACATCATAACTACTTGAACATAATATATACATATATATAACAATAATAAATGAATAAAATAAAATATTTACAAATGTTGATCCAATAAACAATAAAGCAATCAGAAAGATCTACCTGCTCTGGTACAGTCAAATCTTTGTAGATAACAAAATCAAGATCGTAACTTTCTAGATAATAACTGTGTATCACTATCATATTCCTACAGATACATATAACAAATTATTTTCATTCTCAATACCTGATATTACTTAAGTACTAATACGTGTATTACTATAATATACGTCCAATTATAGTCTAGCAACCTTAAAATCTTTAGGTCATTTGTATTCATGAATTACATTCCTATACCATTAATACCATCTAGTGATGATTGCATCAGTATTTTACAATCATAGTATTCAATTTGAATATTCAGTAGGCTCTAACTACCTAAAATATACCAACACTACTTATAAGTCTCATTCAAAGGATGTGTTATCAACCATGAAGTTCTATAATAATTCTTCAAATAATGTTCATGGTGTTGACAATACTTATTGTTCTAGAAATTCTTCACCCAGAAATCTTTCTATCATAGATTTGTTTTTGTTCACATAATTGTAATTTTGACTAAAATTCCACCTTGTAGTAACAAACATTTCATTCAACAGAAACATGGTTTACTTTAAAAGAACTTGGAAAGAATAATTTAAATTCATTAGCATCACTCTCTACATTAGCATTGTGATGACTTATTAATGTAATACATCTTAAAAGTAGGGTTGTCCTAATGTTCTGACCAATCCGTATTCCTTAGTACACTTCAACTGACTGAAATAAAATAAACAAAACTTGGGGTCATACTGCCCAGAAACTCTTATTCCTACTCTGTGTCTAACAAACTCAGGGTAATCATAAAACAACTTATAACAACTTATTCAATTCATTGGATACCATCATATCCAGAAACCTATTCTCCCTAGTCCATACCTTTTATAGACTTAGGTCAAATATAATTGTGTACTATACTCTTTCAATTCAATTCAATTCCTCTTGGATCTCTGAAGGCATTCTTAATGTATATAATTACTTAATATTAATCAATATAAATTATCCTTCCTTAGTTTTCTTCCTTATGTTACTATTGTTTGTTTTACTTCACCTCAATATAAACAAATTACTCATTCTTGTGAATCTATGAAATACTATTAAACTCAATCTTTGTAGTATTAAGTAACCATGATCCTTTTTTTATCAACTTCATATTTTATCTACCTCTGATACTTCTCATTCTATGTATAGGTAATAATATAATAGTTCTTTTCATAATACTATCTTTTCGTAATTGTACTCCATGTGTTATATAGTTATAAGTAGTCTCTTTTGGTATTAATACTTATAACTGTTAAATAACTTTTCATTGTCTGTTTTCTTCATTAATATTTAGGAATTAATATTTGTTAGTGTCAATCTTTTATTTCTTTGTAAGTCTGTTAATCTTCTGAATCGAATGAACTCTGTAGAATCTTCCATCACAGTTTGCAGATCAGATGAAAAGTCTCTAACAGTCGATGTCCAGTTGTCTAAAGGAATTCTTTCCTGATTTATTGTCACAAGGATCTGTCACGCTTTACCTACATTAAAACAAATAACATGTGCAGCATCAATACAATGGCTTACAATGTTTATATCTCATTATTATTACACAGTTTAACATTGAATTACATGGACTACACAACATTCTCATTTCTTCTCATGAGATCTACCATCTAGTGGTCATTACATTTATGCGATGTGATGTATAATCTTTAAATTTCCTTTTATATTAAAATCTTTCTGAACATTTTATTAATCATACCCCCCTTTTAAACTGTTTAATAATCTGGAGGTATAACCTAATCACATATAAGATGTTACAACTAAATATTGTTTTCCACTATACTTTAGCAATAGCAGCCATCTTGTCCGAACACTGGCACCATTTTGTCACATGAAACAAACTACAAAAAACATATATTGTTTCCTTTATCAAATATATTTGTAAATCTAGGTTTTATTTTATCAAAACTTTTGTCTTCTATGTAGTCAAAATATATGTATGTCCAGGCTTTGCAAAATATAGTAATCCATTATCAGTCATGACATTAAAATCTCATTCTCATGAATTAAATCAAAGATTTTAAATCAACCTCAGAAGCAACAACATTGTTTTTTCTTCTGTAAAATGATTGGAGTTACTGTATAATTGCATACACCCAATATAACATTGCATGTTCCTAACTGTGACATTAGTGTATTTCATTCTGTCATATTTGCAAACTTGATGTACATTTTTATTTTAATTAATTAACCTAATACTTTCTTATAACACACATAAAAACAATGAAAAAACAGTTCAGACTAACAATTCAGTAAAACAACAAACTAACATAGATCTCTATTCTTGTGCTGTTCTTAATTCTGGAATCAGCCTGTGTACATCTGTTGGCAGACATATCCATGCTCATTCCCTAAACTGATCATATCTCTTGAAGTTATCTGATTCTTATAACTCTCTTTGTTACACTGCATTGCTTGTCTGTCTCTTAATTTCGATTTAGCTAAAATTGCTCTTATTTGTCTGATTATCAGTTTACAAGGAAAGGCCTTTATTGATTTATCTCCACATGTATTTTCTCTGTTAAAATTTTCAATCAACAAATGTAATTTCTCATTTGCTTTTGATTTGATATCTCGGATAAAATATCTGCAAGATCTTAAATAATGTTGTTTATTGCACCAAAAACAAATAACTTTAGGAGTTATATTCGGCCTTTTATTTGAGCAAATTGGGAGTGGTTCAGCTGTCTGTATCACTCTTTTACACTGAGTCCACGAAGAAGGAGGAGGAGGGGTGTAAAATCTGCACTTCTTTCTCTGCCTAAATCCACTAGTCGTTTTAACCCCTTCATTATTGGTTTCTCTCCTTAAGTTATCCACGAATAAAGCTACTTCTATCAAAGTGCTGGATCTAGATCTTGAAATTTTTTCACAAATTCATTAATTAACTGATCTTCAGAAAAATCAGCAACAAGTCTATATGCACTTTCAAATTTTACAAGAAAACTAAATATATCCTCCCCCTTGTGTGGTTTTAGTTTTTCCAACATTTCAGTGTCTGCTAAATCATTCCCTGTTGTTAATTTTATTAATTGTGTTAATCTGTCTCGCTCATTCCCATGGACTATTTCACTATCTTCGTCATTAGGGGTACTAATGGGTGGAGTCAGTCTACGTGCAATGTATGTTGGCAGCTATATTTTAAATAGTCTATTCCTTTGTTCGTCATTTAGGCTGTATTTGTCTAAATTAGACTCAAACATTTCAGCATTAGTAAATGTATCCACTGATGTGTCATAAACTGGAATACATTTCACAATTTTCATTAATTGTTCATGTATTTTCAAATTAAGTTTTGCAGTTCTGTCTTGAAATTTACATTTCTGCAAATCACTCTGTGAGGATACATTTTCAGTATCTATTGGTTCTGGGATTAGATTCTGTGCCTGTGTTTTTCTTGTATTAACACACACTAGTTTAACTTCATTTCTAAGCTGGCAAATAAAATCATTTCTTAGTTCAACTCTATCCTCTAATTCACAGACTTTTTCTGACAATGTGCTCTCTGTTACATTGTTACACTGTTCATTTAAATCTGATTTGTCTTCTGTTAACCCATTCAAATCTACTTCTTTATCTGCTGATTCTAAATTGTCTTGACCTGCATCTCTCTTACAAATCAATGCATTGTAAGTACAGACTAGTTTCATAACATTTCTGATCTTTTGTTTTTTCTTATTAACAAACAATTTCTTGTCAATTTCACTATTGGCAATTTCACATTGTGTGTATAAAGATTGCCACAATACAGCATCTGAATAGCTGCTATTACATGCAAACTGCAATTTACTTTTCTCTGCAATATCGTTTATGAATTCCATGTTACTCACCAGATCAGTTATTTCTGTCTATTTCGTTGCTTCATCCACACAGCTGTGCAGTTCTTTGCTTGAATCTGGAAATTTGCCAATCTCTGCCACGTGCTTGCTTCTAGAATTCACGTTGTATCTTGTGCTTTTTGTCTCAGTTGTAGAAAATAGTCATGTACAGTCTTTGTGATTTGAAAACTTTCTTTTTCTTACAAACCACAGTTCTTCTATGATAGTCAGTCTAGATTCTTTTTTTTCTCTTCAAGTTTGTTTTCCCAGTTCCAAAATAGCTTTGTAACTCGATTCTTCTCTCTCCCCCCTTGAAGTGGGAACAAAACTTGAATAGAAGACTGGCTGGCTCGCCAATGTAAAATGTAATTTAGAACAGTGTTAATGTAGAATCTTCTTAATTTCTTCTTATCTTCAGTTGATTGATATATATACGTCTTTTGTATATATATTCTTGCGCCAAATGCTCGCCACAATAATATATGTCTATATTATTGAAAAGTAGTAATACGCAATCTGACTTACGGTTTCTTCAGGTTTATTCTTTGTTACGGATACATAATAAAACATAATAAAGGATGTTACAGGATAATGGACATTCAACAGCAGATGGTAATTGCTGTACTTCTGATGGGAGAGTTACATTGTTATACAGATGAAGATAAAAATACAAATGGTGAGAGCACTCAAACAAGATAATTACGATACAATTACCCAAACTGGATTACCATATAAAAAGAGCCACTTCAAAAGCTGGCTCAGACTTGCATGCCTTGAATCACAAACTCTCTCTGGGCTTTCACTGGGTCCTTTCTTGTAGTTATGTTCCATGCACCACCAGGAAACGCAGGTTCAAGGGGTAACAGTATACTTTATTGTAAAAGGAATAAAAAACTACATAAAACAAAGGAAGTCCCTTAATAATAAAAAGTCCACAGAGCACCTGACGCGTTTCGGCAATAAGCCTGATTCTCATGATCCACGGCATGCTGTTTTATATGTTGTTCTCTCGCGCCCTTTTTCGCCGCATTCGCGGCACTTTACTTCCGGGTCCGACGTCGAGACGCATCCTGCGTCATCACGTCCCGACGTCTATCCTCACTTCCGGTTGGGGAACATATTAGGACGTATCAGAAACGTCATTGAAAACGGAGCTTCCTTCAATTATATTGCTCCTAACTTTTAAACGTCCAAAGCAGTAAAATTGCAACATTCTTATTAGAGAGAAAAATACAGATAATACAATCATTTAAAAACAGATAAAGATAATATATAAATAATAAAGGCAAAACTGGAAATCTGAATAATAGAGAATAAAAATTAAATAAATAATATAAAAGTATAAGAATATAAAAATATAAAAAGATCCAAATAGATAAATATAAAATAGTATAGTGATAAAGATAAATATATGTGAGTAATACAATAAATCCTAAAGCTTAAATGTATCTATTGATCTCAAAATCAACATTAAGACCTTGTGGTGACATTGTATCAAGTTCAAAAATCCACTTCATCTCTGCCAATCCCAAAACATATTCTTTATTACCTCCTCTCCAATGTAATTTAATTTGATCAATACCTATAAACTCTATGCCCTTGTTATACAGAGCCAAGAGCCAAGACAGAGAGCGACCTCGTGTCCCTCTGTTACTATAAAGAAGTGCTAATACTAACGTCAGCATATAACTCTAGCCATATAAGGACAAGACCCCCGAATCCACATTCCAGAGCTCTCGGACAAAGAAAGCCTTGTGACTTATTGATACCATCTGTTACTTATGTCAATCCACACATCCATATATATAATCAATAGAAAGATAGAATATGCAATATTCTACACATGCTTACTACAAATTGACTAACACACACACACACACGTTCACTACAGACAAACTCACTGATACACACACATGCTCACTACAAACTCACTATCACACACACAGGCATGGGTGGTTGCAGGAATTTTTCAGGGGGGGCAGGGGGCGGGGGCCAAATTGTAATGACATCCATGCTTGGCTCTTTTTTGACAGTGTCATGAAGGGGACGGGCATAGTCATAATCACATAATGCACCGGCATGCAAAGGGTTGAGAAACCTG